TAGGAAAAGTTTTCCTTGGCAGTACCTTGGTTTCTGAACTCCCTGTTAGCAAAGCCCAAGTTCGTACCTGGCTGAAGCCACCACTTTATTAAAGGCAGCCACAGAAGCAAAGTTAAATCTTGGAGGGAAACAAGTCCATGCATGAATGATTACCAAAATGGGAATAAAAATGGTAAGCTCAAGCATGCTGTTGTAGGACTTGACAAGCCAAACTCAGGGACTTCGCATGACACCTTTGCCTGCCGCCCTGCTGCTGGGTGAGCAGTCAGCGGGGGGAGTATCTGCTGCTGAAGACAGAAGGGAAACCCAACACGTAACCAACACTGGGCTGCAGCAGAAGAGTTGGGACTCTGCAGAAAACAACCTTCTCCGCAGATCAGGTGAGATAAGGTAAGGTTTGTCTCGCTTGCCTCTTTTTGCAGTGTGTCAATTATCAGCTGAGTTTCATGGAAATCAGGTTCTGTCTGGGAGGGCTAAGAAACTGGAAAACTCACATTTTTGGACAGTTCATCAGAAGGTTTTTAGCAAGCTATCGCTTCTGCTTTTAATAAGCTGAGAGAATGCAGGAGGAGTTTTCCAAAATTGTCAGTACCCAACTGCTAAAGCACTGCTCCATTTATGCTTTGGGCCCTTCGGTGTTGAGTGGGGTAAGTCTCCTGGACAAAAGCTACCAGAAAACAGACGCATGGCCTATGAATTCATTTTGCTACAGGCTGGCACCTGTCAGGTCTGGCTGAGCCAAGTCAAACCCACTAGAAAACGATCAGCAAGGATCTTCAGGACTTTGTGTAGACCAGGGCTTTCCCCTGCTTCAGACCTGGGTGACTGGCTCCCCAGGGACTGTCCACCAGCCGAAATAACCTCCCACAGCCACCTGGAGAGCAGCTAGCTCCAGGAGGCAAGGAAGGGCTGATTGGGACAAAGGAGTGGGAAGAAATCACTAAACTTCATGGGCTGCATGGCCTCAGGGATCAGTCAGAGCACAAATGGAAAGGAAAAGGAGGCTCCTGGGTTGAGGCTGGGACTGCAGCTAATAGGGAAATGGTTTTCCTGTTTCGGTGTCTCCTCCTCTTATGCAATTTCACAAATTTTCCTGCTCCACCTGAGAGGAAAGAAACCCAACCCAACCCAGCCCAGCCTTTCAGAGCTGTGAAACCAGAGCACTTGTTTCAGTGCAGTGAATGGGTGCAAAGAACATGATTGCCAAAAGACTAGATGGTAATGAAGGGCCTTGGGTTTTGAGCAGAAAGATTATCTTCATGATGATGTATCTCAGGCTTTATCTGCTCCTCCTCCATCATAAAATAGCAAGGTAAATTAATTTTTACAGTATCACTTTTTTTTTTTTTTTTTGAAAGAAAATTGCAGTCTTTTAGAGGGGATGAGAAGCAGTGATATGAGAGTTCTGCTTGGAATAAAACAGGAGTGAGGGTGGACTCAAGCTATGACAACTACTACAGAATCTCCTGCTTCCTTCCAGGCAAGAGGAAATGAAAAAGAGAGGGAACAGGAGAAATAAGGACAGTTCTGTCTATGGGTTTTTTTTTTTTTTTTTAATTATTGTTTGCAAACTAGAAAAGACTGTAGAAGTAGAAAGAACTCTTCACACATTCTGAGCTTTGACAAGCTTAAAGTAACTGTTAGATGTATTTTTATCAAGGAGGTTAAATTTAATTGAAAAAAAAAATTAAACCAGTAAAGGAAAAAGACATGAAGACCACAGATCCTGAAATTTTGTATTCCAGGTCACCAAGGCTCTCAGATCCCATAAGGGTGGTGGCACCAGGGTCCACACAGTCCAGCCCGGCCAAGCCACCCCTTCTGGATGGACAAGGGCTTAGTGGTGGGAAAATGATGAGGGTGAGCCAGTGGTGCCAGTGAAGTGTGTTTCCTCTGGTCATTTTTCCTGCTGGTGTAACAATTTCCTCTCCAAGTGGCATGAGTGTGGGTTTGAGGCTGGTGTGGTGTGGGGTTTTTTGGTGGTGGGTTTTTCTTTTTTGAGCCAAAATGTGCAACAGACAGAACTCATCAGCCATCAGCCATCTTACTCATTTCATCCAGACAGGCCTAGTTTCCCTACTCACCGTTCTTGTTCCACTAACCTCCCTATTGCCTTGTATTCATCGCATATACTAATAACATACATAACCCTCGTCGGGGCTAATTTAGTAAGTTTTGCTGACTTCTGTAAATGCCGCCTTGGAAGAGGCTAAAGAGTCGCAGCACCTCACGGGGAGGTGTAGCACAGAAGGCGTGAAGTCTAGCGCTGTGTCTACTCCCCCAGGACAGCATAGCAGGGAATTGAACAAGAATTTTTCTCTTTCCACATGGAACAGCCTTAGTGCTGGGCAAGTGCTTTTTGGAGACGAGTAAGGCAGCAGAGCAACTCTTTTTGCACTGGTAAGGATTTTACGTAACACACACACACACACACATTCTTTCTGTGAAGTTATTGCAGTGAACTTGTATTTGTCCAGTAACATATTTAGCCATAATACCCTGATCCACATCTAGGCAATTTTTTTCAGAAATGTACAGGTACATGACACATTTGTATTTACATGGGTGTGTGAGCATAGTTTTATATTGCCAGCATCTTCTATTTCTGCATGCTGATTTCCCATTCACAGGTGCAGCTGCAAATGCCTATTTTTCCTGTTTACTTCATCTCATCAAAAGAAGATTTTAGTGCACTTAAAATCATGGAGCATATTTTCATGAGCCATGCTTTCCTAGCCATTACTCATGGCAGCTTGGATGAAAGATAAAGCCATAATTAACTTGACATTATCTACACTGCATTTCATGTTATGTGTAGTAAAATGCCACTAAGCTTCCTCAGAATTTGAAGGTCTTGAACATTATATAGGGCACGGAGTCAGAGATCACGATTTCCCTTCCTGCAGGTGCTGTTAAAAAACAGATGCAGAATGCCTCTGTGGTTGAGATAGATAAATTAGCAGATTGCCATGAAGCAAACGCTTATTTCTCTTATTGACAGAGGAACTCCCTTTGGTTTCTGCCCTGAGTATCTTGCAACAAAGCTTCAGCCCATAGTTGTTTTTGTGACAAATATAACAAGCAAGCAGGATGTGGCCAGGGAGGCGATAGTGTGTAGTATTTTTCAGAGCTGCATCTTAATTTACAGAGTGATCATGAGAATGCTTAGTTTGTTATCAATTACACTAGCTCTCTCTTCTAATAATGAATAAAACTATTGCTATCCTCTATGAATCACAGAAGTTTTTTATCTTGAAATACATTCTTTGCCTTCTTGGTGCTATACGATACATTGTCTCCCTTGCTAAAAAGCAGCCAACCCTGAAACCCACAAGACAGAAACCACCACAGAGGTCCTGTACCAGTTCATCTTTTTGCAGAGCCCTCCATCTGAATAAAGATGCAACATACAGTGCACAGTTTAATTAGTTTATTTTTTAAAATTCTGTTGGAAATATAGCTGTGCATTAATTACAAAATATATTAAACAATCTATCAATACTTCCAAGGGAACAGGAGTACTTTCATTCTGTTCAAATGCAAACCAATACAAACCTTTAACACTGACCCCAGAACAATGTTTTGCATCCATCATCAATGTATTTGATGTGAAAGCGTCTCTAAATAAGAACAGAAAGGCCACCCTGATTTTATTTAATTAGCAAGTTTAATCCCTTGATAGCAAACATGACCAGGCATATAATGAGACCACTTAAAAAACAAGTCTATACATCTCACATTATCTGAGCTCCCACATATACATTACATACTAACATTTTTAGTAAAATAATTTTCCCTGCCCTGCAGGGGAAGACATTCAGAGGCAAAAAGAAAACACATTTGCAATATATTATAATTAGAAAATTTGTGCCATAGCAGCTTTGCAAATACACATATTAAGAGTGGCTGACTTAAAACACAATTCAAGACAACAGAGATCTGGAAGATAAAAGAAGCCAAGCCACTTTCCAAACCACCTTGAGATCCAGTAATGCTGCAAAGCATCAAGAGTTACAGAACTAAAGAACTCCATTCCTGAAGAAATTATATAGGAAACTGGTTAAATCCCCATATTTCTTCGTATTTGTTTTAGAAACAACTCTTGACACTGCATACCTTTCTGCTTTCATTTAAGTAGTTCTAGCAATTATATGTTAATCCATCATAGTAAAATGATTTGTCAAAAAAAAGATCAGATTTGGAGGAAGGGGAAAAGAGGCTGTGTCAGTGAAAACATATTTTCACATAGAGCCCGAATATCTTTGATCTAACCTTAGAAAAGTTTGATTAAAAGATAATGGCCCTGAAGACCATACATTGAGATGGTAACAATGTAGACTCATAATTTCTTCCATTAGATGAAGATGATGTTCTTAGTTGTAAGAGAAAGCTCTGGAACTGCAGTTAAAATGAAGAGTAACTTGTAAGCTGGGGGAAGAAAGAGGAAAACTGAACACGTGGATGAATAAACAGTTCATTAACGTTTAGAATTTTTCATGACGGAAAGATTTAACTGATACTTAGCAAATTAGCTCTAGAAATCTCTCATGTAAAACTCTGGCATTACAGTAATTTGGCATCACTCTGTGTTCTACGTGGTAATATTAAAATACAAACCCAGCAGAATAGCAGGAGTGAATAAAGCACTTGTATCACTGTCGCCAATATAGTATTATACATGCAGTAGCTTTCCATTCCCTATCAGTTTGTGCTATTGTACAATATTAACCTGAATCATTTATACTCCTGAACCTGCCACCAAACTGAGTTTCCTCCCAAAGCAGAAGCATATTAGCTCTAGCAGATAAGGCTCAAAGCAAAAGTTCAGTTCATAATGCAAAGCTTCAAAAGGAAAGGAAGTATTAATGCACTTAGTGGGTCCTGGGTATAAGCTGTTAGAACACAGACTAAGGACATTTTTTGTTATTATCACTAGGGTTGAGAAAGGAACTGTGGCAGGAAGAAGCTCTCAAATCACAAGTGTTTCTTCTGCCACTGGGTAACTAACAGACAGTGCCTTCTGTATATAAAGGATCTGGGCACTGCCACATATATTAAAAGCTTTTGGTTAAGAATGGTTTAGCTACTAGGAATGCTCTAACTGAAGACACTCCGAAACAATTTGTCTAATAGGATGAGGCTATTTGGTACAAAAACTACTTAAGAGGTTTAAAAAGACAGTTTTAAAGCATGGATCTTTTCCTATTTTGAGTAATATATGCTCACCTGTCCTCTAAACACACAGAATACACTAAGTCAGTCAATGACCGACTCCTTTTACCATTAGCCAGGAAGTTCATGTCTCAGTAGTGACAATACTCCATTGAATACAATCCCTCTTCAACTAATAGGCTCTATCTGCAAAATAAACTTTACTCATTTGGATATGATGAACAAAGTGGTAGGTTGGGTCCTGGAACTTTTAATCTCATGCAGGCAGGCAGAGTATCCTCCCAAATCAATACACTATATAGTAGTCTTCTGTTAGCCTCGTCTATATTAAGCATATGCACTTTCCCCACTGATGATCCCCATGGGATTGCTTTGATGAGGCCAAATAGTTGGAATACACTTCAGAATCTTTTAAGTTGCAGTGTCTCAAGTCTTTAGGTTGTTTCACTAGCTTGGAGAAGTAATATACACATGCTTATGTATGGCTTAGTTCTTTCTTCGCTATTAGACTCTGTACTCAAGTTACCGGGTGAACAAAACTTTTTTCTTCCCTCCTCTAAAGACAAGATTCAGAACTTTATCAGCACCGTGATGTTAAAATTTTTAGCACCAGTGAACTTGAACTACTCAGCTTTGACTGGTCAAAACTAACACCTATATGGTATACAAACAATCAGGACAGAAAACGCTAACACATGCAACATCAGGACGCTCATGAATTCTTGACGTTGAATCTAGTGTTTGCTAAATGAGTAACTACAGAAGCCAGATTTTCTGGATTGCAGTTTTTTCTCATGCTAATTCATAGGCTTTTCTTCCCTTCCAAAGTGCTGAGGGTGGCCCAGCTCCTATTGACTAATGGGACAGGAAATACCCACGACAGCTGGATGTTCATATGGCCAGCTGTCCACAGAGCATTCACAGGAGACGACAGGGGTCATACGTCACCAAGAGACCACTTGAACAGATGCAGGTCATAAGTTCAGCTTTGGTACAAATCAGTATTCAACAACAGTAAAACAAATTCTGCATCACCCTATCTAGTTAGTACATACCTTTGCTCATGTATCCACTCACAACCTGAAAAGTGTCCAGCACTAGGAGAACCCACCAGCACAAAGGTATCTCATTCAAATGCTACACTTTCATCTTTCTGGTGACAGTCATTGACATTCTGGGCCCAGAGCACACACTTATAAAAAAGAATTAGGGGGGCACTTTCAGACCACATTACAAATATTTCTTCAGTGAACTCAGCTCAGAGTCATTTAGCCTTCTCCACAACACTACCACATGTCTTTCAGAAATACTAGTATCAACTCTACATCGACATGTAACTTCCTGAAGCTAACTCCGCAGGACGGAAGGATCAAAGCATACCTCAACCCTAGGTGATGTGAGCAAAGTCTTAACCTGACTTCAGATTTCAAGAGAAACACAGCCAATTCAAAATTCTAGATAAGTCAATATAGAAACTGTCTCAACTTTCCCAAGTTCTGTGAAAAACAAACCAACCAACCTTCATCTTTATTAATTTAGCTATTTCCCTGCTACAGTATGTATTCCAAGGCACTGAGGCAAAAAGATTTACTGGTCTTCTCTGATTTGACTTAAGTTTTACCAAAGTACAAGTACTTCAATAGGATTTTCCTGTAGGCAGTTAAGTTTCGATTAACAACACTTCACTTAGCTAGCTTGCTACAGAAGTAGCTTATTACTTTAATGGAGAACAATACCAAATATTTGAACACATGACCTCATACAGAAAAAAAAAGTAACAATGAAGTTCTATTCAGGTGAAGATCAACTATGCTGGCAACTATGATCTTTTACAAATGCAGCCTATAGGGGTGATGAAGCACGCCTGTAATATGCAGTGGAAGAACATGACTAGTGGCTTCATTCCTCTGGTTAAGACTTACAGGCTACATGGCTCCATCAGTACTGCGAGCTTGAAATCCTTCTCTGCGGAGACTGTTTAAATCCAGACGCGTTAGAACTTCACAGCGCACCAGAAGGGTATCATCCTTTACGAAGGTTCTTTGTTTCAAGGTTTGCAGGTGCATGAAAGTCACATAACCAAAACCCTTTGGATTGCGGTGAACTGTTGGTCTCTGGAAGGCTAGTAACTCTGGCTTGGCTTCCATTACTTCTTCATGATTCTGCCTTTCAGGGCCTTCTGATTGATCCAAAATAGAAAGTCGTATAACGCCTTGGAAAGGCCAAGGCAGATGGCTGTCATATTCTCCTTGCATAGTGTGGACAAACAGAGATATAAAATTAGCACAACGTTGAGCATTTGGTAATTGGATATGCAGGCGCAAGCACAGCTTGTAGCCAGGCTTTCCAGTATAGAAACCAGGACTGTGCATCACAACAGGTCTCTCTTCTTCCTGGGCTTTCTGAAGTCCACTGAAGTTCTCAATCTTCCAGATATAAATACCATTACATTGCTGTGCCTCCATTTCAGTAATCTTTCCCTCCAAATTTCGGATAGTACGTTTGAGTTCTGCCACATGAGTGTTCTGAGTCTCCATTTTAGCAATGAGTTCTCTGATTTGGTGATCTTGTCTTACCAGACGACCTTCCAACTGTTGAATAGTTTCTCTGAAGTTTTCAACTTCTGGATTACAATCATATGGGGCATGTGGCACGGGTGAGAAGAGGGAAGGCTCAAAGGGTAGGCCATTGATGAAGGGTACAGGATTTGTAGCAGTAACACTGATATTTTGAAAACTCTGAGCCATCATTCTCATGTGAACCTGAGTGAACTCCTGCATATGTCGTGCCAATTCATTCCTTTGCATCTAGAATTTAAGAGATGCGACATTAGGAACATATCAAACATTATCTGCAGTCACATCTTAAATGTGGCTCTGAAGAAAATCAAACAACTAGTTGCTTCTGTTATGTGAGAAAAACCGGAATGTGAATCAAGGACAGGTGATGTGACAAAATAGTTCTTTACCAATGGAGGGCTACAAATTTAAGATCACTGTTATGACAAATGGAAAAAAGTTCAAATGCCAGCAGGCAAATAGTTTAACTCAAAATAGTGACGTGGTGAAAAAAGTGTTAGTGATAAACATACATTTAGTATTTTTTCTGTGTTCTAAATCAGCATCGCATTCCCTTCCTTGATTTGCTAAAATGTTCCACAGTACCAAATACAAGGGTGTATGAAAACTGATGTGGAAACGATGAAGCGTAAAGATCCATTTTTACAGAGAGGTATTAAATGTAAGAGTATGCAGATTAAATAATTTTAGAATTTAATCAGATTTAAAACACTGTCAGTTTTTCTTCACTGAACTCTTAAGAGCCGTAACTGTATTTGGTCACAACTTCGGCAGAAATTCTAGAAGCTACTTTATTAACATGAAGGATGAGAAAACACTCATGGACTAATAAAAGCAAGTTCATCAAGCAAGTAATTCACAGTTTTTTTAAATTTTAAAAGCAACGTATCAACATGCAGTGTTTTAGAATTAAGATACCTCAAAACAAAAAAAACCCCACAAATCACTGAGGATTTGGGCTGGTGAAGGAGACAAGAATAGAAAAACACATTAAAAAACCCCAACAAAAACATGCAGAAGGTCTGCAATTCATGATTCTGATAAAAGGCTTACCTTTTCAGGACACCCAAAGGCACTGTAAAAACACGGCACTGGGGCGGTAGGACAATCATTGTCATAATGGTTAGGCATCTAAAACAAATCAGATTTGAAAATAATTTTTCCATCAAGAGTATTCTTTTATAACATCCTAAAAGAACACGGCTGGATAGACTCTGAATAGGTATCTGAAGTCAGATCAGTTTATACCTATATGATTTCTCAAAGAAATATGGAAGTTTTGAACAAAAACGTTAGCTGATGATAAAAATTCTACATCCTCCTTTTATGTACTTTAACAATTCATTGCCTTTGTTCTTATATTAGCCATCAGAAAGCATTCAGGTTTTCTTGCCAGAGCAAGGCCTTTTGTTTCTAGCCTATCCTCAAGCTAGATCACAGTCCATTTCCTTCCCTGCTGAAGCACTACTACCATACACTTGTTATGTGCCTCTTCATTATCCTCTTCCTCAAAAAGCTCAAGTTACTTCAATTTTTCTTATGGTCCGTGTTTTCCAGACCCAGTTACCTCACTGTTCTGGATACTCCCAATCCATTCCCACCTCAAAGCGGGACAGCTTCAGCTGAGGCCTTATGAGCCCTAAACAGAGCAAAGGATAATTCTGGAATTCACAGGCAAAATACCTGTTTATATAACCCAGTATGTTTGCCTTGTTTAAATATCATGATGAAGTACAACACAAGCTTAATACAGGTCAGCCATTAATTCTTAACTATTACCTAGTGTTGTGGTTTAACCTGGCAGACAGCTAAACACCACACAGCCATTTGTTCACTCACTCCCAGCCCCTGCTCCCGCTAGGATGGGAGAGAGAATCGGGGTAAAAAAAAGTAAAATTAATGGGTTGAGATAAAGACAGTTTAATAGGACAGAAAAGGAAGGGATAATACCACCACCACCACTAATAGTAATAATAATGATAAAAGAATACACAAAGTAAGTGATTCACAATGCAATTGCTCACCACCCGCCGACTGATGCCCATCCAGTTCCTGAGCAGCAGTCACTGCCTCTGGCCAAATCCCCCCAGTTTATATACTGAGCGTGATGTCATATGGTATGTAATACCCCTTTGGCAAGTTTGGGTCAGCTGTCCTGGCTGCGCCCCCTCCTCCCAGTTTCTTGCTGGCAGGGCATGAGAAGCTGAGAAGTTCTTGCCTAGTCTAAGCACTGCTTAGCAACAACTAAAACATCAGTGAGTTATCAACATTAGCCTCATGTTAAATCCAGAACACAGCACTATACCAGCTACTGGGAAGAAAATTAACTCTATCCCAGCTGAAACCAAGTATCCACCCCTTATTCTATACCATCTATGTCACACCCAAGTCCCACACTTTCCAATACATCCCAGCTAATCACCACCACCTCTCCTGTATTTTCACATATATACACACAGATATCATTCCCTTAGTCTATGGGCCAACCCTCTAAAATGTCTGCTGAGTTAATTTAGTCCATTACTTTGGGCTCCATCTGTCATAACAGTCCTTCAGCTTAGGAGAGATGATTTGTGGTGTTGGATTGTTGCATGCTGAAGCCAATTCTAGTTCCATTATTGTTGTGCTTGTCTGGTTCTATCATCACTGCACTTGCTCGGTTTCATCAAAGTTCATTCTTCATTAATCTAGGTGATTCTTACTGTAATACCATTGATATGGCATATAGCCACCATAGAAGTGATGACATACAATGTTATACAGAAATTAACATAACACAATTTAATTCATCGGCTATTCTCACCCAAAATAAAATCCCCTTGAGGTACACATCAGACTTCCTCATCACCCACCAAACGCACCCAGGTCCTTGAGCAAAAGCAATCCCATGAATGAGTTTACCTTTGCCTGAGGCAGGAATAACCCAGACTGTCTTCCCCAGCATATTTTTTACGTGCACTACAGGGACTTTATGCCTCTCTACAGTACGTAAGAGTTTTGAGTGGGCAGGGTCAGCTCGATTGGCAGATCCTCTGGTGTTGACTAACCAAACGGCATTTGCTAAATGCGTATCCCAATGATTGAATGTCCCACCACCCATAGTTCTCAGTGTAGTCCTTAACAGTCTCAGGTATTGTTCAATTTTCCCAGAGGCTGGTGCATGATAGGGGATGCGATATACCCACTACTCAATGCCATGTTCTTTGGCCCAGCTGTCTATGAGGTTGTTTCAGAAATGAGTCCCGTTGTCTAACTCAATTCTTTCTGGGGTGCCATGTGGCCATAGGACTTGCTTTTCAAGGCCCAGGATAGTGTTCCAGGCAGTGGCATGGGGCATGGTATAAAGTTTTCAGCCATCCAGTGGTTGGTTCCACCATGGTGAGCACGTGGTGCTTGCCTTGGTGGGTTTATGGGAGTGTGATATAACCGATCTGCCAGGCCTCCCCATATTTGTATTTCAGCCATTGTCCTCCACACCATAGAAGCTTTAACTGCTTGGCTTGCTTGACTGCAGCACATGTTTCATATTCACAGATAACCTGTGCAATAATATCCACAGTCAAGTCTACCCCTTGATCACGAGCCCATCCATACATTGCATCTCTTCCTTGGTGTCCTGAGGTATCATGGGCCCACTGAGCTGTAAATAATTCACCCTTATGTTGCCAGTCCAGATCCACCTGAGCCACTTCAGTCTTAGCAGCTTGATCCACCTGCTGGTTGTTTTGATGTTCTTCAGTGGCCCGGATACATGAGCATCTACATGACGTACTTTTACAGCCAGGCTCTCTACCCAGGCAGCAATATCTTGCCACAGTGCGGCAGCCCAGATGGGTTTGCCTCTGCGCTGCCGGTTGCTCCGTTTCCGTTGCTGCAACCTGACTCCAAAACCCTAAGGGTGGACCTTGACTCTCCCCTGGTGCTTTCTGCCAGAGGCTCCAGGTAGGACTATTCTTCCCAGCTGCGGTGTAGAGCACATTTTTTTACATCTTGCCATGCCTGGACTGGCCCAAGGGCTACTGCATAAACTATCTCCCATTTTGTTTGTTCAGAGGCTTGGCATTGCCCAGGACCCCATTTGAAATCGTTCTTTTCTGTGTCACTTGATAGAGAGGGCTTACGATCAGGCTGTAATTTGGAATGTGCGTTCTCCAAAAACACACAATGCCCAAGAAAGCTTGTGGGTTTTTTGCTAGTTGGTGGGGACATAGCTGTTATTTTGCTGATCACATCCATTGGGATCTGATAACGTCCATCTTGCCGTTTTATTCCTAAAAACTGGATCTCCTGTGCAGGTCCCTTGACCTTACTCTCTTTTATGGCAAAACCACCTTTCAGAAGCATTTGGATTCTTTTCTTCCCTTTCTCAAAAGCTTCTATTGTATTGCCCCACACAATGATGCCATCAATGTATTGCAGGTGTTCCAGAGCTTCACCCTGTTCCAGTGCAGTCTGGATCAGTCCATGGCAAATAGTAGGATTGTGTTTCCACCCCTGGGGCAGTCAATTCCGGGTGTACTGGATGTCCAGCCAAGTGAAAGCACACTGTGGCCTGCACTCCACTGCCAAAGGGACTGAGAAAAATGCATTACCAATATCAATTGTGGCAATACCACTTGGCTGCCGTTGACTCCAGTTTGTATGGAAGCTCTAGCATGTCCGGCACAGCAGCAGTCAGTGGCAGCATGACTTCATTGAGGCCATGATAGTCTACTGTCAGTCTCCACTCTCCATTAGACTTTTGCACTGGCCATATGGGACTGTTAAAGGCTGAGCAAGCCTTGCTGATCACTCCTTGGCTCTCCAGTTGATAAATCCTTACGGAGGGAGTCTTCTTGGTGCAATATTGCTGCTGGTGCACCGTGGTGGTGGCAATCGGTGCCTGTTGTTCTTCAACACTCAGCAACCCCAAAACAGAAGGGTCCTCAAAGAGACCAGGCAAGGACAGCTGTTTAATTTCCTCTGTCTCCAAGGCATGTGTTTGTTCTCTGGTTCAGCCACAGTGCCTGTCGCCAGGGGTTGGAGTAGCCGCAGTGCCTGTCGTGGGGGTAGGTCTCTGGATGGTATTATTAAAATAGTTGTTTAACCCTAAGTAGGACCTGTCACATTCAGAAGACATAGCAATAGGACCATGCTGGTTTGAACATCCCAAGGATATTAAAAATTCTCAAGAGCTGGTATAACTAGCCTGAAGGAGAAAGAGAAAGTGAAAGACAGAGAGAAAGTGTCCCCCCATCTCCCCCATAGATTGGTTCTCCGAGGAGAAAAGGTAAAGAGTGTAATTACTAATAGTTTCTGAGAGGTGGCTCCCAAGGTATGGAGATGATGGCACTGCTGAGTACAAATACCAGATTAGTCTCATGACCAGTAATTTTATCATATGATAAGCCAGTGTTACACAGTGCAGCAAAATGCTAACATTGATCCAGCTTCCAGAGATGATGAACAGCACAACAGGGAACATATACTGCAAGTAAGGTGTTATAGAACACAGCTTTGAGAGCAAGCATGACAACTTTGAGAGCAAATAAACCAACATTGTGACCAGCTACTATTAAAGCAATATAATGAATGCTTATAACAAATTTGCTTTAACATGGTCTGGTTAGATCTGTCGTTATCTGAACACTTCAAGCCCCACAATGGGTGCCAAAAAGACTGCTGTGGTTTAATCTGGCAGGCAGCTAAACACCACATAGCTGTTTGCTTGCTCCCCACCCCCCCACCATGGGATGAGGGAGAGAATCGAGGGCGGGGGGGAAAGGTAAAATTTGTGGGTTGAGATAAAGACAGTTCAATAGGACAGAAAAGGAAGGGAAAATAATAATAATGATAAAAGAATATACAAAGTAAGTGTTTCACAATGCAATTGCTCACCACCCATTGACCAATGCCCAGCCCCCTGGCCAACTCCCCCCAGTTTATTTACTGAGCATGACCTCATATGGTATGGAATACTCCTTTGGTCAGCTGTCCTGGCTGTGCCCCCTCCCAGCCTCTTGCTGGCAGGCATGAGAAGCTGAAAAGTCCTTGACTAGTGTTAGCAACAACTGAAACATCAGTGTGTTATCAACATTATTCTCATGCTAAATCCAAAACACAGCACTATACCAGCTACTAGGAAGAAAATTAACTCTATCCCAGCCAAAACTGGGACACCTAGTTTAGCATTCTCTGTTCCCCATTTTTGCAGTTTATTATTGTACCCAATGACAGATTTTTGCCTTTGCCATTACTGAACTCAATCCTGTTTTTCAGAGTTTTTCTCCAATTTGACAAGATCATTCTTTATTTTAACCCAGGTCATTAACATAGTTGCCATCCCATTCAAACATGGATAGGCTGCAAATTAAATAACATTTATCATTTTCCTGCCAATGAAGTAAGTTATTATTGTATAGAAGAAATTATAATGGCTATTACAATAATAACAGACAAACAGAATTCCAGCCAGCATCTACAGTTTGACAATGCATTATTTATAGCTCCTTTCCAATTACTCTCCTACTCTGCCCAAATCGAAGCCTTGTCTTCTAATGTCAGCCATAACCACTGGCAGCTGCTTTAATCTCCATTCAAGATCAAAACCATGCAGCATGGCCCCTCTCAAGAAGCAGTATAGCTAAACAATGTACTTTGCAACCAAAAATCCTACAGAGGTTTTGCAAGCTGGAGCAGCATTTAAAAGAGTATTACATCTGCATTGGATGCAACATTTTCAGAGAGAGACAGGCAGAGATTTATTAGCTGGTAGAAAAACTGTTTCTTCAAGTTTCATTTCAGATTAAAGAAGAAATGTAAATACAGAACATCTGACCCAGATGAAACACAGAGAAAGGTAGTCTCTTACCTGCTCTCTGATGAGCACTGTGTTGCAATATTCACAAAATACATTGGCAAGTGGGCAGGTTTGGTCGTGAAGCTTAGTTATCAAAGGAAAAAAGAGAGGAAAGAAAGAATCAATAAAGTTACACAATTTAAGAGTGCTCATCATCTCTGATAAGATGTTAAATTTTTATTTACACTTCAAATTTTACATTTAGCTGTATGCAACTGTGAAACAAAGACAATGCCCTAACATTGCACAGTATGTTTTCTATAATTACTGTTTTTTCCTGCACTCATAGAAGAGATCCATAAAGTTGCAGATATTTTATCTCCTAAAGCTCTTTGTTCCAAAGGAGTCTGAATTTATCCAGAAGTTTCTGAAATTCATGTTCAATTGTAGTGGAACTATATTAAAGGGGTTTTTTGTACTGTTGGACTATGAGGTATTTTAGTTTAACAATTCACAATATGATATCATAAAATTAATAGCCCTTGAAATAAAACACATCCATATACAGATAAAGAAATGGAAGCTCAAAAAGGGAAGGACTATCTTCAGTATCACCCGAGTAAAAAATGCAGAGCCAGGAGAAGAATTAAGAAATTAAATTGGTATTGTGCATTAGCAGATAACACGAAAAGATGCATCTCCTGACACGTTCTTTCTGCCAGGCATAAAAACTGTAAATGTAAATATTGCTTTGTGTGTTACTTTGGCAATAGATACCTGCCTCTCTGATATAGTAAGGCCAAAAATCAATGGTTGTCACACAAGTCTTTTCACACCACAGGGTTCCCAAGAAGTTTGTATTTAAGCACAATCTTCTCCCCAGCTTTTGCCTGTTCTAGACTTGATGCCTGGAGTTTGTAGCTTCTCACCTGTACAGCACAAAGAGCTCTTCTAGACCAAAATTATTTTTTTTTTAAACTGCTGTTCCATTCATGAGCAAACCCATGTGAATGAAGGTTGAAAAACTGAGACTTCTGCTAAGTACCTCTTTATCTTCATAGGCCATAGATGTGGCACAGTTTGGACAACAGACTTGACGCCTCGGACACTCCTGTGTCATGTGCTCTTTCAGATGGTTCTTCTGGAAGGCTCCTTGGCATTGTGGGCATTCCACAGTGGAAAAATCACACTGCGACTGGTGGTCCTGAACAAGGAGAAAAGAGGGATTTGATACTACAAACAGGTACTATCGCCTTGTACTGTGCTTTATCTTGAAAACAGACAAGAGGAACAGATTGCCAGCTTTCCTTCAGGCAAGCAAATCCTTATACACTTACGCTGACTTTACCAACGGCTTGTTATTATCCCATTACTAAGGTCAGGACTTCATGTATTCAGAGCCTTAAGAATGCTCTCAGGTAAAAATTCAGCTTTATGTTTATCCTTTTAACTTTGTGTATTATTTTCCAAAACAGTTATCTCAACTAATATATCTAGCTGCTTTGAGGGAATATTAAACTGACTTTAGGGAACCTGTGTGAAGTACAGATGCACCTTATCAAAAGACAGACATGAAGGATCCTAAAGAGAAAGCTGCATTAGTACAATTTTGATGCACTATGACATTCACTCGAGAATCACCTAATTACAATTAAAGACTCATCAAAAAACAAGTGTAGCTATAGTCTCGAATGAACAATGCACTGAACCAGCATAAACAAGTATCAGGTATGACTATCTATTTTCAGTTATTCTGAATTTTCACTTATCCATGAAAACAAGGTTCCATATTTTCAAAACTAATTCTCACCTCTAAATGCCTCAGCTCCATCTTCATACTGCAGCCCTTGTTGGGACACTTAACCATTAATGAAAGGATTTCCCGTTTAGCAAAGTTGTCAGGAAAAAGTTGATTTTCAAGCAGAATTTCATTGTCTACTGGACATTTGTGACCTGCATCTCTACAATACAGAAAAGAGAAAAAAAAAAAAGAAGAGATTCCAAGTTTCCTTCGCCCTTCATTTAAAATATTTTTACACTAGCAAGACATTAGTGGCCAAATTATAACACATTAAGAAAGTCTTTGAAAACAATGGCACTTAGGTGGCAATTACCAGAAAGCATAAAATGTACATCAGAGAAAATGACAAAATGCAAGTTTCACTAGAGGTGGCATGACTGGGATCGCACCACTTTTCTAACTCAATAGTTTTTATTTGGCCAAATGCCATGGTAGATACTCTGGAATTAAACTTGAGGAGGATGTAAAGAAACGAAAAATTATGGTCACGGTTCTGTAAGAACTTCACATAGCTCAAACATCAAAGATTATTTCATATACTATTTCAAAACATTCCTCTAAAGATTCTTGGACCTCCTCTCCTTTCCTTCTCACTTTATAAACAGCCAAGGTGACCAGAGCTGAGAGAAAAAGCAAAAATGTCTTTTTTTTTCTTTTTTCCAGATTCACTTCATCTACTTGGCATGACTTTTCATATAGTCCATTTTGGTCTTTTTGTTGTACAACCATTTGATCAATTGGTCATCCTTCAGTTCGTTTGTTTATATAGCAAAGAAGGGTGAAAAAACTCCAGACACAAAAATTACTAATAACTATGAAAATTACACTAGATTTGGAACTGGGTGTTGTATCCGAAGCCATTTCAACTGCAAACAGACTGGAAGTGAGTGCTAACTGGTGAAAGTTTGGAGTCTGATGGTGGAACATGGGTGCATGCAACTTGCATAAGAGAACTAACAACCTCTTCCGCTTTGTCAGGTTCTGTCTACCTGCATTTAAACACAAGAATCATTAGGAATGGAGTAAAAAAGGGATCACAGCCACTGAATTCTCTTTTAAAGAATATCCACTATCAGCTAATTTCTGAAAGCAGCAGATCAACATATCTATTCACAATTAAGTAACACATTTAAAGATGCATGAGGGATCAAAGCTTCCGAGCTGAAGTGCTAATGGAAACAGCAATAAAATGGAAAAATCCATGGGGCGGAAAAATGTCAGAGAGCACTTGTGGTGCAAAGATCAAAGGCCAGATCATTGTCAGTGCTTGCAAGCATGAGGGGAAGTAGAACCCAGTGGGCTGTGGAGACCAGGAGGGAATTTGTGTTCTTTGTTGGAAAAGGAAATAATTGCTCAGCAACTCCTTCATCAGCAACGCTGCTAGAGGAAGTGGGGGTAAAGCTGAGACTTCAGAAAGAGACAATGAACTTCCTTCCCTAGGTTTTGCTTGCAAGAGCTAGCTCGCCACAAGTCTGTCAGTCATTCTCCTAAACAAGTGGAAAAAAGAAAATACCTAGCATGCTGTTTTGTTTTATAGCTCCCTGAGCTATGATCAGCGTGCTGATCTTTGTCATAACCCAGAAACGTTCCTATCACAGAATCGAGTTTATGCACCTCAGTTCTAATCTACATTACAGCGGAGGCTTTCCTATGCTGGAATCATTTATCACATTGGACTGTGCCACCCACAGCAGCACCTGTGAAACAATAATCATCTGCTACAAAGTACAATGAATATTCCTATAATTTCTCTTGAAATTAAAATATAGGTATGAAAAGTAAAGCCAGAATAATTTTGTTTTAATTAAAAGCCTGCTTCATCGTTTTAGCAACTGAGCAGTTTAGCCTAGAAGCTGAAACAGTTGGCATCCACTTGAACTGCAGCCATGCCCACTGTTTGATGAACTAACACCCAAAGCTTTCTTTGCTGCCCCTCGTCAGCTCATAATTCTGTTTTTCTGATATTTGGCAAGCTCTACTACAAGCCTCAAGTCAGCTTTGACCTTATATACAGGAGAAGACAGACTAGAATGAAATTTAATTACCTACTGCATCTGATCTTAGTTCTAAAATTTCTAATCAAGTACTTTGTAGACAGTAACATTTGTAAACTATTATTTGTGGTTACTTAGGTAGACAACCTTCTTCACTACCATGACTCATAGCACTTCAAAGCACTTCAGACAGCTTTATTTAAAAAGATGCCAAGGCTTTCTGGGAGGCAAACATTTACTGCGATCAAATCCATGTGGTCGAGTCGTGTCCCTCACATTGTAAGAGCTAAGGCTCCAGTCTTTAAAAGCTTTTTAAAAAAATCTTTCTAGCTGCAGCCACAACTTTTTCAACATGGCCAACGACAATTGTTTGTGTAAGTGACAAGAAGCAATTACTCAAAAACTGCTTGTCCATCTTTTATCATTTAAAATTCTTAATCTCTGTGATCACTTGAGCAAGACAGTGGGGACAAGGGAATAAACAGAAGAAATTTTTTCCTGATCAAATAAAGGCTGTGACAATCTAATGAAAAAAACCCAGTACTTAGAGAATGTAAAAATCACTCTCCATTTTCATTTAGTTCTGTAAAAGCTTCTCAATGACATCAGTCAATACGGAACTGCAGACACTACATACTCCAAATCAATGTTGTACTGTAGACACTACATACTCCAAATCAATAGCTTGATCCATGGATCCCAATTAAGCACGCAATTCAGCCCCTCAGGGCTTCAGAGGGGTCTGGCACTTTAAGTTGTCTGCTCTGCTTTCATAAGTATTCATTGCATTCCAAAGACAGTATTCAGTGGGGAATGAGGGATAACATTTACCACCAACGAAACATCTGAAATATCACAGTGATGGTCCAAGATGAAAAATGCTTTCCACCTGTGTTTAGTATTCACTGAAACAGTCAACACTATCTATAGAAATGAAGTAAAATAGGGAAAGGGTGTAAAAGAAGCAAAAGCTTCTGGTCATTGAAACTGTTTGCAGACCTAAAACTTTGAGCAGAGCAAACGCTCTGTTAATTTAAAAAGGAAGAGAAACCATTTCCCATGCCTGGGGTTTAAGAAGGAAGTTTCTCTACCTGCTACGAGATGTTGCGTTCTGAGCATGTGTTCACTGCAGTTCCTCACTCAGTCCTGTGGTAAATTCTAACAAATGACTGTAACCATGCAGCTCATCAGCAGAAGCAGAAGGATTAGAAAACAAGATCACTTTAGCTGTTAAGGATCTGAAAGACTGGAAATGAGACACCCATTTTTGGTAATTTTAAGTTTAGTCATTTTCCCCTCAGTTTTCAGCCAAGGAATTCTGTTGTCTTTGAAATGATTGGTGAGTTTAGTATACTTAAGTACTGACTAATTTATCTTCAGGATTTATAGACATCATACTCCCATGAGAAGGTTTAAAGATTTCTTTCTTGCAGAAATAACCAAGTTAAAGAAGAGTATAAAAATTGCTACTGCCAAGAAACAGAGCAAGCTCAGAGAGAACAAGTAAGGAATTCCAAAAACTAATGGCCTTTATTAGTACAAACGTCTAATTCAGTGCTTACAAGCATGCATGAAAGTATGTACATTAACCTCTTGAAAGAATTTAGGTTGGAATGTGCAAAGCAAAGGCCAGATAGTGAGGCCAACTGCTTGTGCCTAGGGAGCTTGATTACAGTCAAAGCTGACAGGTTCAGGTTTGGGATTCTGTCTTGTGAGCTACAAATGATAGGCCATGGAGAAAAAGAAATTGAATAAAACTCTGGATAAATGGTATGGAAAACAAATCAAGAAAGCACTGTCCATTTTTCATGCTAAAATTAAATGCCTAGGGAAAATAATATTGTACAGTAGTGCTGAAGACAGTGTGATGATCTTTATACAAAGGCGGGCAAAGTAAGGTTGGAAATCAACCAGTTCTATATGTGGGTCACAGAATTAAATATATAGATTCCTACCAAAGTACTGTGACATTTGAGCTAAGTCAGCAATTGATAAGAAAAAATCTGGCTTACGCCGAGAAGGAAAAAGCCCTGGAGCATAAGATCTAGCCTTCTATCAACATGTTCCAATACTCACTGACACATGTGGGACACTGATGACTCTATTCCAGGTTTGAGGGAAGTACATGCTACCAGCGTACTTTCTGCCCTTCCACGCTCTTTCAGTCATTCATTTTTATGAGCCCAGCCTGTTCCTGCCTTCATATCTTATTCCCACTCCCCCACGTGCCACCTAGTTTCCTCTCTCAATGCTTTGAGACTATTCCCTCATTACATTCTCTCTTCCAGCTGAACAAGGAAGCAGCTGATTTCAAGTGAAGAACGGAAAGCATGAATCTGCACCAAGAAACCATGTTGTCTGTAGTTGCCCATAGTTATCAAGAGAAACAATCACAGGGAAAAGACAGGGTTTATAATCCTGGGCTGAAAATGGAATTTATTTGGAGGATTTGGCTACTTTTAAAAAAATTATTACTTCATGTTTACTCAATTGCATTTTTAGATTCATAAGCTGGGTAACTTTGTATAAATGGCAAAATATCTAAAGCTCATGCAACCTCCGAACTCAAGACATTTTGGCCATACATGGTGCATCTTTAATGCATTATAAATTTCCAGAGTTCTATTAGCACTCTGGCAATGCACCTTAAGCAGTTCTAATTCAGTTTACATTGCCCTTAAACTGCTCTGCTTTGGCAAGTGAATTTCTTCTTTAAAGCAACTTCCATAAATTCTCCTTTACCTTATTGATTTGACAATGCAGCCTTTGCAGAAACGGTGTCCACATGGAGTCTGCACTGCTTCCCGAAGAGCCATCAAACAGATTGGACATTCATATTTACTTTCCAAGGGCGGATCAAACTCTACGTCATATCCTTGTGTTTCTTCTGTGAAAGAACTTGGAGGGTTTCCAGTCCCACTGCTGACGCTTACGCTGTCGTCTTTCACTCCAACGCTGCAGGCACTGGCCATGGCTGCCCAGCAGCCGCTTTCCAAGTCTCGGGCTCCACAACTGTTATCGCTGTATAGCAAGCTCATAGTAGCTAATCAAGTGCTACACAGAAACGCCCTGCAAGATGACAAGAAGATGGGTTAATTTAAAATATTCCAAGACCTTCCTTTCCAGTCAAGAATAAATTTTACTTCTGACTAGAAACACTGGAATAGTGGTGCAGATTTGGTTCTACTCAAAATCACTGGTTTTGTTTTGTCCCAGTTTCTGTTATCTATTTTTTTTTTACTTATCTTGTGATATATAGGAAAGAGCACTGCATCCTATCAGCCTACTTCAAACACACACACACCTTTCTGTAATCTCTTTCATCTGACTACCTAATTTCTGTAAATTTCTCCTTGTTATGTTTACTGAAAATGCTTCTTTACCCCTTCAGTATTATTTACTCCTAAAGCATTCAAATATAATTTGCATGAAAAATGCTGTACAAAATCAAGTTTTATTGGATGACAATAGCTCTATGCCATATTGTCCTTGTAGTGAATGTTATTTAACACTTTCTGTATATGGCGATTCACAGTATAGACTTCAAATCAGTTTAGGTGCATGCCCACAAATAAAATGCAAGTCCAAGTGCCCAAACCAAGAAGATGCTGTGCTGCAAATGAAATTCAAACATACAGCACTGCTGATAGCTTTTGAGCTGTGGAAATATTAGCCTTATCTTGTGTGTAGCTTCTTATTCAATTTAAAGTCATATTGGCAGTTTTAAAAAGTTATCTACAAACTACTAGTATCCAAACAGAGCTCTTGCTCTCCTTTCCCTCTTCCAGTCCAGCTGGCAGGGAGGGCAAGGGACATGACTGGAAGAACAGAAGATAAAAGTCACATTTAGCTTTTAGAACACTGCTCACAGAGAAGGTTGAACTCATAGGTATGAAATAAAAAAATGCTGGTATCCCCAAACAGATTGCCAGTGTTCTTATATTGAATGACGGAACTTTAGAGAAAGGTCTAAACAACAAATATAAATTCTAGAAGTCAAATTTTCCTCTCCCTCAATTTTTTAATCGTTACAACCATTTTCTTAGAATCCTATTACGTTTTCTATAAATGGCATTTCTTTGAAACACAGAAGTTATCACCAGGTGCAAGGCAGTATGAGTAGGCTGAGGGTTACAGAGCCAAGCATGCAAAACAAGCCCACTAAATTTGATCTTTTGCACAGCAGTGTAGGCAAAGGTCTTTTGCAATGTTCACCTAGTGTTTTCACTGCAATACCATTACATCACTTAAAGCATATTAGGGATGGAAATCTAAGGATTAATCAAGAACTGACCTGTAAGGATTGTTGATCTGTATCTGCAGACTCTGGGGGCAGCAAGGGATACTCAATAACTAGGGTTACCTTGACCACAAGCTCACAAACCTGAACTTTTTCCTGCCTTTATCAGAATTTGAACACCACAAGTCATTTTAAGAAAATGTTCATGGATAGGAGGACATACAGATAGGTTTATTTGGGTACTTACTATATGACACCTGAAGATTACATCAACAGAAATACTAATCACACAAAGCTTCAACTAGCATTTACTGGAAATATGTTTTGAACACTTGCAACATTACCGAAATGCGCTTTAGTCCACCTACAGGATAAACAATTAGCAATACTGTCCAAGCTTATCCAGACTAAAAAAACTCCAGCATATCTACCAAACAAAATCAAACAGGCAAAGTTACCATATTTAGGTCAGTTACAGTTAGAATCAAAACAGAACTTTTACTCTGTTGTGTAAATATGTGACTTTCTATTTTGTTGAGGTACACAGAGGCATGAGAAATATGTGAAGAGTAGCATTCCTGACATTTCTAAAATGCTGCTAAGGTACAGAGTCTCAAAGCACAGTTTGACAGTTCAGAGTTGTACTGAACTGGTCATCAGCACTCACTTTATGCAGAAATAACTCTATAGCAGAGCTGTCTGGAACTGTATCCAAGGAGTTATGTTTACTTCTATTCCTGTTTTCTGACCCCACGTATTATTCCCTATACATTATCTATCACAACAGGCTTTACAATCAAGGCTCCTAAACACATCAACATTACAAACTAAACACCAAGTAAATTCTCAGCAGTTGCTTCAGACGTAGTCCAACAACGATCAATTTAATCCCATGGAACTGAGCAGCTCCCCCAATGACTTGGAAGCAGAAGAATGAATGCTTAGAAAGATGTTCTGTGACAGAAAGATTTTTTTTAGACTGCCATCGGTAGGTCTCTTTTCTCTGGAGAAAAAAAACCCCAACTTGTTTTTGTTGTTAAACTAACATCACTTTTACTTAACAACCGCTGCAGAGGATGATTAGTCCACAGGCCATATTTCATGAAAAATCACAGGAACTAAGTCAGCCAGTGGAGTGGGAATGCTGGTATGCAGGATATCAGAATCCACAGGACAGCCTAGGACTAAAAAATTCACATTATCCTAAACCACAAGGGTATATTTAGTGAGATTAAGAAAGGGAAGAAAAACATATATCCCTTTAGCAATGACACAAAGGAATTCAGGAAGTTGCAAGGAGGAAAATATAACAGCTTTACCCAAATTCAGCTGTCATGTTAATTGCAAAGAAGTGTGCAACTCTTCCCTTGGGCTGTTCCTAAGAAACAGCATACTATTGGAAATATTGTTCTTATAAGAAAGAAAACAGGATCTGACTCAGTATAATCTCCATAGTTGAACACTTTGTAGATTTAAGTGCTATGCAAGTGGTGTTCTCTTTGCCTGTTTAAATTGTTTCTACAGACACAGCAGGTATGTACTACAGAAAGAAAAATCCTATACCAGTTATTTTAATGAATGAGTCACTGCAACCAGTCAACATCCCAGTCTCACACAAAAATCCCCTTATTCAGCGATATACTCCACTCCCACATGGAATTTGTCTGCATATGACCAAGGAGTTTGTAAAAAAAGAAGTGCAAGTATGATGTGGCTCCTCTTTTTAAGTAGAGAAATTCAGGCACAAAGAAGCAACTTAAACAAGGTGATTGAGAGCCAGATTTTTAATTTTGTTCACGTTTCATGTAAGACAAGATTCCTCCTACTACTCTCGCCCATTTCATCTTATCTGTGAGGAGAATTCTCCTTCCTCCACACATATTTATAGGTGTGGGGCAAGGCACAATTTTCCAAATCAAAATCCACACTGCTGTTACTCAGACCATTAGCCGAGGCCAGATTACTCCACCACAGTTTAAAACAATTCCTTTACAAGTTGTAACTATTGTAGCAGGAATTAGTTCTGTTTCTTGTGGCACTTAGTTTACCTTCCAAGAGAAGGAACATAGATTCAATTTTCTTGAACAGAGCAGTGCTAGAGCAAAACGAATTAAAGAGTATACTTTGAATGCTGATGACAGGTCTTTCCTCTGATGAAGGTGGAGCAGACAATTTGTGAGCCTATTGTATAAGTTTTGCATGTTCCTCCCCTGGGGAATTTAAAAAAAAATTTCAGGCTAGAAGAGGATGGATTTTAAAACCCAAACCAGTACATATCCCAAGGTTCACATCACATTGCTGCCCTTTCTATCTGATTACAAAATAGATTACCAGTGAAGTAAAACCTAACAAACATCCCCCCAAAACCACATCAGTTTTTCTTCCTACTGATAATAGCTGCTATTCTTCCTCTGTGTGGAACAAAATTGAGTCAAATACAAGTACAACGATATGCAAACATTAACTTGTAATACCTTCTCTACACCACAGCCTTTAGAATTATCCTTTTTTGACACTGGTAGTTTAATAATGGTAGCCCATTTATGACCTTTTTTGTTTGGACAACATCCAGCCTTCAGATTGAGGAACAACTGAAATTAAACTGGATCATTACATGGTAATTCTTAGTTTTGCTAGTTTGAAGTTTCTCGGGCGCAGAAAGCATTAAAACTGTTTGGTAATGCACCTGAAACGCCCTTTTCTAGAGCTAGAAAGTGCTATCAGGCTCACCAAGCAGATAGATAATGGGTTTTAGCTTACATATATGAGGTATCCAAAGTCCTTGGGCCAGAAAAGTTTGATTTCTCTCTGCAAGACAACAGCCGTATTGTTCGACAACAGAAAGGAAGGTGCTTTCCAGGCCAAACAGAAACAGACAGAATTTGTTTGATCACTGTGCTGCACAAATCTGGAATTGCCCTAGGGATCAAACCTTCATGCCCCAGAAAAGACACAGTTAAAAGACTATAGGGAGTCCCCATACTTCTCTTCCAACTTTAAGATTAAACCATAATGAAACCTTTCTTCAGTAAGTAACCTGTGCTACATTGCTGTTTACACCGTTGCATTACAACGTGCTTAGGTTGATCTGAGATAGCACCGTCAGACCAGAAGAGCAAACTCCTGCACAAATTAATGTACCTTATGATTGACAAAACCAACTTCGAAACAGAATTAAAACCCACCCATATTTCAAATTAATGCATGCAACAAAATTCAGTACTGTGATTTGCTAAGTCCCACAGTGTAATGGAGCTTTGGTAGGACTTTTACAGATTTTCATGCTCCAAAGACCCACAGGATTAATTCAGAAACTTCTCTAAATCAAAAAACATTACTGGTACCATTAGATATCTTCAGATTGCCTGAGAAATAATACTATAATTAGAGTAATAGAGAGAAAATAAAAGTAGGCACTGTATCCTACTTACACTGAAATATGAAACGATACTTTTGAGCAGTTCGCAAAGGCGAAGGAACGCTGTACAGAGAGTGTATCAGTTACCATGACATAGAAAATTTTGAATATTAATCAGTAAGTATTGAATACAATTAATTTCCACATGCCCTTTTCTAGAAAATTCACACTGAGCAGCCATATAAATAAGTAAATCAATACAGAAGACTATTCCAAATCCCTTTTCTTACTTGAAGTTCATGAACGTAATTAATCTGCTTGCAGTCAGGCCAGCATGCAGCCAGCAGGGGAAATGCCTTCAACGCCGCATGGACAGAAAAACTGGCCAAGCTCTTCTCCTTTCTTCTTCTGCCTCGCTAAGAACAGTTTTGTACATATAGATTTCTGGGTCATGAGATTGACAGACCAGTGGAGTGACTTTGGATAATTTGTTTATGAAGCAATACTTGCAACACTTATTCCCAGGCATATTAATCAATGGTCTACTGACAACTGATAAGCACCGTGTGTTTGCTTTGTGAGGTTTGCAACTATCATCACTGTGGTCTCATCTAGGCAGAACATATAAAATGATGCGATTTCCTTTTAATTAATACCTGTAAACCACTTTCATTTCAAAGCTATCAAATGGCCAGACAAGCCAAAGCAATAGGAGATAGCGAGCAGAACGCGTAACTGCAAAAAACAAATTCTGATTTCTTGTAAAAGCCTGCAAGCACTTTGCAAACATTTAGTTGAGATACCAACTTTTTTTTCCTAACAGCAGTAAACCTTAAGACTTCCAAGTCTTTTGGATAACCACTATACTTATCACTTTAACATGTGAACCTAAAGACTTAAAATATGAATTTTTGTTTGCGGCAAATACAATTGCACAACAATATTAAAAGCTCATTAGACACAATCAAGAGCTCCTGCCACTGGAGCAGAGCAGGCTTAGAGCATTTCTGAAGCTTTCCAGGTGATTTCTCTTTGCTTGGAGAGAATGCTAGTAGGCTTTAATCACATACGTATTTTTATGCTTAAGCGTTACTTAGAAGACTAGATGGTGGCCCATTCCCTGTTATGTTCACATTTTATCCTGCTTAAGTATGTCAAAACAGATTGAATTTTAGTGAGCAGTGGAAGTGGACTATACTGTATTTAACACCAAAATATTCCATGGATTTTTCCACAATTGAAAAAAACAACCCAAAATCTCCCAAACCTTTCTTCAGTTTGTTAACTTCTAGGGACATTTCACCAAGAGTTGTTCAGACTAACAAATACAAGGAAAGTGTTGTTAGTGAGAAGAACAATACTATTTAGTTCTTTACTTTGGCAGAGACTCTGCTTTCTTTGGCCTCTGCTCTCCCTTTGCACACTGAGAACACTTTGAGATATGCACTGTGCCTTTCTATATCCCTCAGTGGATCTGCAGAGAATTTTTATGCTGCCATAATGGGGACAAAGTAAACATCAGGACAGAAAGGACTTCAAAAAGAGGCAGGGAGAAATATGGCTATGAACAAAAGTCATTTCTGCAAGGCGTGGACTCCAGGACAGATTTAATTACCATCTACCTCAACAAGCATTAAGCTTGTATCTGGCATTAGAAAAACTATTTGAGACCCTGGAAAAAGAAATGGTGAATTAAGCACACATTCTGAAAACCTTACATTTACTTTTCTTTTTGACATGCTTTATACTCGGAATCTTTTATCATTAGTTTTCACAGTCTGGATCTAAAACCTTTTTATATTTGTTTAGCTAATTTGTGCTACTGAGATATGAAAGATACTCTTCTTCACATATTAAACTCACAGAAGTTCAACAAGTGAAGAAAAAGCATGTTCACCTCAGACCTTTTTTGATTCTGAAATTGTATCAGCACAAGTATTTATTCTGTGCACTTTTTTAAACATAGTAGCACATTTTTTAAACAGAAAGCAGTATTGCAGTGATGCGATACTACAAAACTTAAAAAGCCATTTATGTCTTGATCACTTCTCATTCAATGGAGCCTGACTGAGCTCCACAAATCTTTAGCTGCTGGGAACAGCTGAAGGTAATGTGGAACGTGCAGAAGAATCATGCTCAAAGCGATACCTGCTGTGAAAATAATCCAACTGCTTTTATCAGCATACTTCTGTGACCTTTTTTCCTTCTGATACTACTGGGACTGGAATCCTTCTGATACTAGTGGGGCTTTCCTTTCGTACTATGGAAGGACAAAGCAGTTTGCCTGCAAGTGTTAGCACGGTGAACACAGGGTAAAATGCACTGGAGATGTTAAACAAGCTAGTTAGGGCAGCCAGTAACTTTGCCTCCGCCTCTCCCTCACCAAAAGCTTCAAACCAATACTTTCTTAATCATTCTGTCAATGGTACCTGAGACACAATAAAATCCACACAGCAGCATGCAGAACTTGTCAGAGGCAAACACAGAGAAATACTTTCAGCTAGCTTTAAGTACTGGGTGTAAGGGATATAATTAGAACATTTTCCTCCCACCTACAGTTGAGATTTCCGTTTAAGTATGAAAAGAGTCAGTGTGACCCATCTAAAACAGATGAAATTGATGGAAAGTACTACTGAAGTCATAGCTTATTACTCACGTTAATAAATTTACCACAAATATTAAGTACTGCCAGTCTCTATTAGAAAACAGAGTTTTCTAAACAGTAACCTCTCCTGCAAATTATCCTTACAGGCCTTTAACACGTTAAGAGGAGTTATCGAGTACCTCCATTTCGCAGTTGGAAAAAACAGAGCCCACTTTTAAGGCGAGGTACTCGAGGCTGCACGGGAACTAACAATCGGGACTGCACCTCGGAAGCCGCCCGCTGCCCGTGCTCCCAGAGCGGTGCGATGGCACACCCCGGACGGTTACGAGGCAAGGGAAAGTCGTTCCAGGCAGGTTCCCACCCCCCCAGCAAACCCGCCGGGGTTTGCCCGGAGCCCCCGCC